ATACAGAGCGGTTGAAACTTCGTGGCCCATGTGCAGAAGTCGGTATTTTGTGGAAGAGCCATACTCAAGGGGCCAAAGAGCCGCATGTGGCTCGAGAGTCGCAATTTGCCGACCAGTGGTCTAGCCTAATCTTTAAGGCTAGGTGGGTCCACCCCTAGGTGGAGCTCACATTTCCTGTCCCTACATGGGGTGATGGCCTACTAGCCAATATTGCTTGTGTCATCGTGGCAACTATAAAGTTAAGCCTGTGAAGACAGCCCAGCTTCTGTTCTAATGGCCAAAGGGCTACTTTGCTCAGTATCTGAATCAAACTACATAGTTCATTAGTATCCAAACGGACAGTCACAGCTGTCCATGTAATAGGATTCTTCCCTACTAGACCCTTCTTTACACCACATGTTCTTCGGGAAGGGTGGTATACCCTCTCGGAACGGACTAGGGAGTAGCTCATCCATAGAAATTTTATCCCTCGACAGGGTCTCATGTCACAGGACCCAACAGGGTTTAAAATTCCTGTGACAGAGGGCTGGAACTCACCGCTTCCTTTTGTTCTAAATAGGCCCCCCACTTTGCTAAAGTTGGGATTTGTGCCACTCCCAACATGGGCATGGTCACACAGGCCTGCAAGGCAGCACACACGGCTGCCGACTGTCTCTCAACAAGAGAACATTGGCTCCCAGTTTTCTTCCATAACTGGGACTAAAACCTGATGGGTACCCTTCTCTGCCCACATGGGCAACTGCCCTCTTGGCAGCTAGGTGCCCTTTATTTCTGGGGTTCAACCCCACATCGCCCCCTTCTGGGACAACTGACACATGGCCGTAACAGTGGAGCCAAGTGGGGACTGGACACTTGCTAACACCCCAAAAGACCAACATAGGACTGTAACAACTGCTGGCAGCTGCGTTCAAATCTGCAAGAGATTCAGAGGTTAGCACATTATTAACACAGTGAAACGTTGGCCCTATGGGAGGCTTGCCCCAGGTGGCTAAATCTCATGCTATCAAACTACGACAAATGGAAGGGCTATGCAAACATTCCTGAGGGAAGGCGACCAAAGTCCACTGTCAACCCTCCTATGCAAAGGCCACTGTCCTGGACTCTCTGCAGCCATGTCCATGGAGAAGAAGGCACCAACGAAGGCCATCACATAGGGCATTGCTCCAACGCCAGGGCAAGCCGATCGCTGCAATCTTCTACAGCCAGCACCGTGAAGTGTAGCAGGGGAGTCAATCTGGTACCAGAGAGAGTTGCCTACATTACAGGGACAGTTCTGCTCTGCACCCTTCTATATGAGCAACTGGGCCACACGTTTATCCAGGCAACTACAGAGCAAACTGTAGTCCACATCAGCGAGTTCAACATGCGGCCTCCTGGCCCCCCCAACCGGGTGCCTCCTCCATCCCTTACAGTGGTTCTCAACCTTCCTAATGCCGTGACCCTTTAATACAGTTCCTCATGTTGTGGTGACCCCCAATGTCATTTTTACAAATTGAACATAATTAAAGCATAGTGATTAATCACAAAAAACAATATGTAATTATATAAGTGTTTTCTGATGGTCTTAGGCAACCCCTGTGAAAGGGTCGTTCGACCCCCAAAGGGGTCGCGACCCACAGGTTGAGAACCGCTGGTCTAGGAGATCAGACTCCTCGCTCTGGTCCAGGGGTAGTGCCTTCCCTCTGCACTCTCAGGGATCACTGCTCCACCAGCACCTGCATCCGGAGGGCCAGCAGCAGTCACTGGGTCACTGATCTGTTTTCCCCCTTTTAACCCCTGCTGTGAGCAGGCATTGTCTTATAGTCACAGGCCTGCCATGCCCCTCTCTCACTGCTTGAACTCCAGGTGGCCATGGAGTCACATACTGCTGGGGCTGCAGAGAGAATCAAATCTTCATGCGCATTGCAAAACAGCAGCAGCTTGGGCGCCAGACCCTCCTGTGGTTTTTCACCTGCTCTGGCCCCACAGCGGTGCTCTTGATGGCCTCTGCTGTAGCCTCTGCAGAACTGGGCTCCGCCTTCCTCTCTGCCTGGCTCCTAGAGGCTTACTTAGTCTCTCTCAAGCTGTGCAGTTCCTAGCCATTCTTCGGGGATCTGGTCTGCAGGGACAGAGGAGTCTTTTCTGCTGCTACCGGTGTCACCGCTACCAGATACTACAGCCTGGTTGGAGGAAACATGACCTCCAGCAGGGCAGATGGACACTTATCCCCAAATCCTGTTCCTGATGCCAAGTGTTGGAGTCCTTACTCCTTGACTCTGCTTGCTGGGCCAGCTGTGGGAGCACAGGTCCTTTTCTGCCAGGGGCTGTACCCCTGTAGACAACTGGTATTAGATGGAGAAGATATGAGAAGTTGTGAGCATATAGTATTGTAGAAGACAGAAACCCAAGCTAGCTTAGAGAAATGGAGTTACACAGCTTTATTATGCCAGTGGTTTCAGTGGAGTTGCCTCCAGAGTCTGAGCAAACCAATATGGTGGAAACGCTTCATTTATCCCCTTTTGGTTTCTTTGTCCCCTAAATATGGATGGGGACTTCCAGACCTTTCATTGGCTTAGCAAAAAGCCCTGTAGGTTGGGATGGGGGGTCTTGAGGTCATATCTAAGGGCCTGGCCTGGCGCCAGTACTGATAACCCCCTCCAGGGGTTATGTATTGTTCATGATTTATGGCCTCTGTAAAACGTGAGCATTTAGGTAACAGGTCTTGCAAGACCAGATTGTGGAGGAAAGGGGCAGTGACTTAATTATAGGTTATCAAGAATGCACATTAGGTTACTGCAGATTCAGATTGCTAGCCCCCCCCAAACATCAGGGTTACCTTGGAATTAGCCTTTTAGCCTTCTCAATAGGAGAGTATTGTAGCTCAAATGGCCATTGCTAACAAGAAGCCATTAAGACAAAAACAGTTCTTCAAAGTAGCCCCACCAAGTAGCTGCACAAAGCAGCCTTTGCTAAACACAGGAGCCCTTGTAAACATACAGCCATTGCTAACAAAGCAGCTTGACCCAGTAGCCACCCCTACATAAAAGCACCCTCATACCGGCTGGTCAGTAACACACTTTGTACCAACTTTGTTAAAAGAGACTTCTTCCAAATAGTGACATCAGTATTTGGGTTATAGAAAAGTACCCTTGCGTAGTGTATACAATACAATTACTGTGTCCTTACTCAGATTGGCCTTGAACATCTGGTGTACGCTGGATGCTTTTGTTTTCATCTTTCAAAATATTATATTTTATTTTTCTCCTCTAAAATTTAAGCTCTATGTGAGCAAGGTTTTTTGCCTTGTTTGGATATCTGTTGTATCCTGCATTTTTAACAATATTAAATGGAGTTCATATGTGGACTCTAATGAACAAAATAAACTGATGAACCAAAAATAGATCCAGAGACATATTAGCAAGGAACAGATTGCTAACAACAGAGGGAAGGCAGGAGAGGGTGGGTGGGTGGGTGAGCAGAGATCCACCAATGAACATGTATGCATACATGCATAACTCATGGATACATTATGTAGTGAAGGCCTGGGGTGAGGGGCGAGAGTGGGCTAGAAGAGGTCAATGGGGGACAAAATGGGACATATATAATATTTTCTGCCAGGGTCCAACCCCAGCGGGTCCAGGGTTCGGGCGCCATATGCTGGGGTCCGGCCCCAGCAGGTCCAGGGGTCCCCAAAGGTGTGGACGGAGTCGGCGAAGAAGGAATGACACGGAGACAGTGTTCAGTTGATCAGCAGCCTAGCCAGGATCTCCAGCCAGGATCTCCAGCCAAGTTCTGGTCTGGATCTCCAGAGAGGTTCTGCTCTGGATCTCCAGCGAAGTTCTGGTTAGGATCTCTAGCCAGGTTCTGTATCCATGTTGTCTTGCTAGGTTCTCCAGCCAGGTTCTCCAGGTTCTCCAGCCAGGTTCTGTAGCCAAGTTCCCTCGCTAGGTTCTCCAGCCAGGTTCTGTCCAGGTTCTCCAGCCAGGTTCAGTTACCAGGTTCTAGTCAGGTTCTCTTGCCAATTTCTATAGTCAGGTTCAGTCCAGGATCTTTTGCCATGTTCTCTCGCTAGGTTCTGTCTCTAGGTTCTGAGGCCAGTTTCTGTCCAGGAACTTTTGCCATGTTCTCTCCAGCGAAGTTCTTCTGTCTCTAGAGAACGTTCTGTGTAGGTTCTGTGCCTAGGTTCCATCTCTCTCCGTTCTGTCTTCTTACATCTGTATTTATACCAGTTGATTCCAATCCTATCAATCTCTATTTCAAAGGTTAGGGCGTTTCTTATCTCCATTCCAGGGAGTAAAGATTATGTAGCTTAAGCATGATTGTTCATAGTTAAAGTGATTAATTACCCACCTGGCACTTAGTTAAGAGGTTTTATTCCCTCCCTAACTTCAGGGGAAAATCCCTACATGGGGAAACAACCTTTCTCAGAGACCTTGGTTAAAACACATAGTGCCAAGAAGGTGAGCAAACATATTAAGAACAGTATGCCATATATGCCAGGTCCCTTGAAACAGCAAGCATGGACCGGCTCCCGGCAATTTTCAACAATAAATATTAAAAAAATATAAATAATAAAGGAGTCTTGCCCATGGGTGTTCTCAGTGGTTGAGCGTCGACCTACGAACAGGAGGTCACAGTTTAATTCTCAGTCAGGGCACATGCCCAGGTCATGGGCTTGATCCTCAGTATGGGGCATACAGAAGGCAGCCAATCAGTGATTCTCTCTCTTTATTGATGTTTCTATCTCTCCCTGCCCCTTCCTCTCTGAAATCAATAAAAAATACTATATTTTTTTAAAAAAACACCTCCAAAACAAAAAACAATAAATATTTAAAAAATAATAATAATAAAGGGAGTTCTTGCCCCACCAGTGTGGCTCTGTGGTTGAGCATCGACCCATGAACCAGGTCGGGGCACACGCCCAGGTTGTGGGCTTGACCCCTAATAGGGGGCATGCAGGAGGCAGCTGATCAGTGATTCTCTCTCATTATTGATGTTTCTATCTTTCCCTTTTCCTTCCTCTCTCTGCAATCAGTAAAAACATAATAAATAAAAATAATGCTACAATAAATATAGGGATGCATGCATTCTTTCAAACTGTTATCTCTGGTTTCTTCAGATATATTCCCAGAAGTGGGATCATTAGGTCAAAGGAAACTCCATATTGTTTTCCAAAGTGGTGGGAATGCAGACCTTCGAAGTTTCTCTTTCCTCCACATCTTGTTTGTTGATTCATTGATGGTAGTAATAGCGTCAATGATAAAAAGAAAGACAAAAGGAAAAGAAAAAAAAACTCACTTTAAAATTATATTTTTAAAAACTAGATAAAACACCACTAATGTTGAAATATTTGAAACATTTCCCTTAAAATGTCAAACAAGTCAACACTATTTACCATCAGTAACTCTCTGGCAGTCTTTCCCTTTTTCATTAGACAAGAAATAAGTAATAGCTATAACACAGAAAAAAATAAAGCTTATTATTAAATGCTATATTTTGTAGCATTTACAATAACCCACAGATTATTTGAAATTGTGAGAGCTTTCAGCATGGATGTTGAACAGAAAAATAACCAAAAGCAGTTGTATTTTATTACAGAAGCAACTATTTTAAAAGACAATAAATTATGTAACTCCAATAGGAGAAACATTTTACATATAAAATAAGGATGCATGTAATAAATAATTTTCAGTAACTGTTTAGAAACATTGTAAGTTATATAAGAAGACAAAAATCAATAGAAGATACATATTGGCCAGTGTGTTCAGTAGTTAGACTGTTAGCCCGTGCACCAAAAAGTCAAGGGTTCAATTCCCAGTTAAGGGCTCATGCCTGGGTTTCAGGTTCATTCCCTGGCCCCAATAGAGGCACATGTGGGAGGCAACCAATTGGTGTGTCTCTCACATTGATGTCTCTCACATTGATGTCTCTCTCTCTCTCTCTCTCTGTCTGTCTCTGACGCCCTTCCTCCCTCCCTTCCACTCTCTAAAAATCAATGGGAAAATGCCCTTGGGTGAGGATTAACAAAAAAAGATACATGATATAAATTAATAAGAAGATAATTTTATAAATATAATACTGCCAACACTGACCTATAGATTCTGTAAAATTACAAGATTCTTCTAAAATTGATATAGAAAAGCAAAGATCCAGGACATATGAAAAGTTAAAACGTAAGTTGAAGAAATTTAACAAAAGTGAAGTTATACAGAGGGAAAGAAAAAAAGATATTAAAACTTTATTACCTATGGTTATAAATCATAATCAGAAATGTTTATGTAGTACTTTTTTTTTTTTTCCTGCAAATCCATTTTCTTTCTGCGTAGCATCTGGCTGTTGCTACACCATCGTCACTGAGGTAAGCACATTTTTCATTTCCTTTCACATCAAACCTATAATAGAGAGAGTACATTAAACACTATGTACTAGGGAGTCCTATAATTTTCCCCTTGTCTAATAACACTTTTAAAAAAATATATCTGCCTGAACCTTAAAAATGTGTACTGTGATATACCAGTAGTGCTCTCTTGCTAGGGTTAAGATATCTGCACCAAACTGGACCATAAGAGTCTGCCTTCCAAGCATTTATATTTATTAAACTACATTAAGTGAGTTATATGTAATCAGGGGAACCACCAGTTCATATAAATCAATGGTTCTAAATGGGGCAATTTTGCCTTCCCCTCACCCACCACAAGGGACACTTGGCAGTAACTGGAGACATTTTTGGTTGTCACAAATGGAGTGGGGAAAAATCAGAGATGCTGCTAACGTCCTACAATGCACAGGAAAGTGCCCCCCTACCCACAACAAAGAATTATTCAGTCCAATGTGTCCGTTGCATTGCTACTGAGAACCTCGACTAAAAACTAAAGTGGCAAAGTGGCTGGCTGTCATCATTTGGGTTGGTTACACCGAGATCATGTGTGCAGTGAGTTCAGGTCTTTCAATCCAATTTTTCTTATTGTAAAATGAAAGATACAAAGCTCAGGATAAATTATGTTATCAATGCAAATAAAATCAGCTTAAAATAAACAACAAATTGATCATGAACTGTAAAATATGTCAGCAAACATGTAGCACAAAGCTTGAAAAATAGATGTAGAATTGGAAAAGATAATTTAGAATCAGGCACAAGTTTAAATTCTTTTGGACTGTGTTTGTGAATTTTAGGTCTTTATTTTCAAAATAACCAAGTACACGATCTTCCCCTTATATATATATTTTAAAGCAAATTAACAACAGTGAATATTTATTAATTGCTATGATCCAGGTTCTCTTTTTTAAATTTATCTTTTTTGTTTAAAGTATGTCCCCTTTCCTCCCCTTGCCCCATGTCTTCCCCACTCCCATGTCCTCCCCCTGCCACAGGCTGAGGATTCCCCTTATGTCTCGATTCCCAGCCTCTCTGGTTGACTCCTGGAGTTAATCTCAATACATGATACAATCTTTCCATTTCATCTTTTTAACATGTGCTCAAATCTTGGGCTCTAGAGAAATGTAGCTAACCCATGTCTGAATTTAAATAATCTGAGATAGAAAGAAACTCACCATTTGTTAAATATTCCTCCATTTACCCAAGTTCCTGTTTGATTTTCTGTCATCTCCAACCCAATCCAGAGATCAAAAACACATCTTTGTTGTCTTAAAAAATCCTTTAGAGACAAAATCAATTTCATAATTTTACTTCTCAGTTTTTAATACAGCCTATTGTGAGGAGCAAGGTGACAAATGTTAAACACCAAGCTATACCAGAAAATAAAAAATATTTTACTCTCTGACCCTCAGTTTTCTTATTTATGAAACAAAGATGTGAGAAACATTTTCTTTCAGATACTTTCTTATTCCAAATTAATAATTTTTCAATATGAAAGTCTATTCCTCCAGTATTTTTAAACAAAAAAATCTATGGAAATCCAGTTTGTTATGAAGCTCATTTTAATCATCACATATTTACTATAATGGTTTTCCTGTTCCTAGCAATTACTAGTATATTGAGTTCCATGTTGTATTTTACTTCAACTTCTCTCCCAAAATTATTCTCTCTCCCTCCCTCTCGTCTCTCTCTCTCTCTCTCTCTCTCTCTCATGCCCCTCAGATAACTAGTTCTTTTATAATCTAGTTATCAGATTGTATTTTTTGCAGATATTCTAATTTTTAAAGGTATCATTCAGGGAAATTATAATTTTTCCTGATATTTCTTCTTTTCTCCTTCTTATTCCTTCAATGTTACAATTGAGCTCATTTTCAAGTCATGGAGTCTTCTCTGCTACTGAGTACATGCCTGGGAAACCTTCAGCCTTACGTTATATAACTCCATGTTTCCAGTTGTTGATAAATATAAAGGAATCGTGAAAACTCACAATACTCATGGTCCATTTCTATCTAATACTAGTAGCAGTGACACAGTAGCTTTTGTCATTTTAATATGCCATCCTCTGCAGCATTTTATAAATTTGTTTTTTAAAAGTTCATTTCATTGAGCTAAACTTTGGGATTACAAAGAAACAGATTAATAAAATATTCCCCCTGGATTGAAAGGGTTTAATTTAGTGAGAAAAATTATGTAAATATAGAGTTAGAAAATATCCTACTAGTTAAGGGGAAGATAATGAATATAACAAACACAAATTAAAATTAAAGTTTACAAAAAAGAAGTATCTGGTTTTTATGGGAGGCTTTCACATAGAATGTGCTTTAAGAGGTAAAGCTGGAAGAGAAGATTTCATGATACATATAGAGGGTGAGGGAGAAAAAGACATTCATAGTCTAGACTTAGCAAAGAGCTTCTCTGAAGGCAGAAAAAATATGTAAGGATAAACATATTGGAAACCAGCAGGGGAGATCTATGCCTATGCCTATATATTCATATGAAAAATAATACAATGATTAATGAACAATAATGCAAAAATAAACTGTTTTGTGTACTTGCAACTGTAAATCTATTTTTGCCCATCCTGTATGTGTATATATAAATTATTGAATAATGGAAAAATTGGGTGATGTTCAAGTAGCTGTGGTCTTGGTGACAGGCAACTGGGAGGTGCATTTTCTAGAACCCGTCCAATGAAAAAATATTAATCGTTAATTGTTTAACACAGGGGTGCCCATATAGCTTATTGTTAAAAATGCAAGATAATTTTAAGTAGATGAAAATAAACAAAACAATATTTCATGAAACAAGTTTTATCTCATTTAAACTTATACATATTTTGTATATATATATGTATATATACAATATTTTAAATTATTTTACATAAAATCTTACAATTCTTGAATACATTGCCCTGGCCGATGCGGCTCAGTTGGTTGAGGGTCATCCCATGCACCCAAGGTTACAGGCTAGATTTTCAGTCAGGGTGCATGCTGGGGTTGCAGGCTCTATCCCTAGCAGGGGGCGTGCAAGAGACAGCTGATCAATGTGATGTTTTATCTGCCGGAAGCAAATTCCATCAGGTCATAATTATGCAAGAAGTTCATCAGAAAGCTGATGGATCTTGGGACTTCAGCAGGGCTGAAAATATATATATATATTATTACCTACTGCTGAACAGCTGCAGGCATTTCCCCTAAACTGATAATCTTTTCCTGTTTACCTGCTGCTGGAGAAATGGCTGAAGGAATTTCCCTTAACCTGATAATCCATTATTGCTTACTAGACCTTACCTTTGATATGTATATCTGCTTTGCTAAAGGGCAAAATCTATATTAATAAAAGGGTAATATGCTAATTAGACTGGGAGACCTTCCAGACGTCCTTTCAAACAAAGCCATGGTGGTGGGGCTGAGGCAGAGGTGGTTAGGGGCGATCAGGCCAGGAGGGGAGGGCAGTTGGGGTGATCAGGCTGGCAGGGAGGGGGAGGGCAGGAGGGGGCAAGCAGGTTAGCAGGGGAGGCAGTTGAGGGCAAGCAGTCTGGCAAGGGGGACAATTGGGGGCAAGCAGGCTGGCGGGGGGGGGGAGGCAGTTGGAAGCAAGCAGGCTGGCAGAGGGGCAGTTGGGGGTGAGCAGGCTGGCAGGCAGAGTGGTTAGGGGCGATCAGGCTGGCAGGCAGGTGAGCAGTTAGGAGCCAGTGATCCCGGATTGCGAGAAGAATGTTTGACTGACGGTTTAGGCCTGATCCCTGTGGATATCTGGCAATCAGACATCCTCCAAGGGGTCCCAGATTGGAGAGGGTGCAGGCTGGGCTGAGGGACACCTCCCCACCCTTGTGCACAAATTTCGTGCACCAGGCCAGTAGTGTGTTAATAAAAACTCATGGGTCCAGAGATTCGGAGAGCTTAGTCACTAGAGCTAAGACTCCCCTGGCTCCCCAAAATGCCTTCCAAATTGAAATTTCTTGTCTATTTATCCATTTATTCGCAGCCCCTTCTCCAGATTCCTGAACCCTTGCTGTGAAAAGACTACGGCATTTATCAATGTTTCTCTCTCTTCCCCTCCCTTCCTCTCTCTCTAAAATCAATAAAAATATTAAAATTATTGTATATGTTACTTTTTTCACTCCTTCACAGACAGGTTTATCTCAATCTGTTGGTCACTTATATTTTGCTCAGAAAATGTAGTATATAACAGGCATCAACAATCTTCAAAATATATCAGAATATTTTATGATCAGTTTTTTTTTTAATATATTTTATTGATTTTTTACAGAGAGGAAGGGAGAGAGATAGAGAGTTAGAAACATCGATGAGAGAGAAACATCGATCAGCCGCCTCCTGCACAACCCCCTCCGGGGATGTGCCCACAACCCAGGTACATGCCCTTGACCGGAACCGAACCTGGGACCTTTCAGTCCGCAGGCCGACGCTCTATCCACTGAGCCAAACCGGTTTCGGCAGATCAGTTTTTTTTTAAAATCCAAATAGTACAATCATTCTTATTTGCTATGTTTAATGATTTCCCTTAAGCTCAAAACTATTGTTGTGTACTTCTGTTCTTGGTGTTCCATAATATTCATTATTTTTCAGTCTTTGCCAACATGATTCCTGTAAGTGAAGAGTTTAAACAATATGCCTTGTTCTTTCTTTATCCCTCAAGAATTTTATTAACATTCATTATTTTTCCATTTTGCTGGTAAATTAGTCTCTTTTTCCTTAAGAGGAACTGTAAAAGGCAGTACAAATAGTTCTCAGAATGTTTATTATAAAAGTCTTGCAAAATTCATGAGTGAGATTATTTATAGAAGCTCTTTCATTTAAGCATATTTTATTTTCTGTGTCTGCTCTTAACATATCTAGTTTTTCACATTTTATTCAGATTTACATATCTTTTCTTGCTTCCAAAATAGTTTAGTTTCCTTGCACTGATCTGTAAATTGTTCCAGTCTGGTTCACATTCATTTAAATTTGTACCAATCATCAGGCAGATTATGTAAATAGACTCTTCACCACATAAGTAAGATACAATTCTAACAATGTTGACTGCTGTGCTGTACTCTTTACATTTTAAATGCTTCTTAATTGTACATTATTCACAAAAATATTTAAACCAAATTACATTATCTCTTATATTGACCCTTTTAAAGAGATTAGACAAAAGCAAAACCATATGTTTACTGTAAACTTTATTTAGGAAAATAACAGATTTCACAAGTGCAGAGTTACAGAGTTTCTCAATCTCTTATTCTTGGAGATTGTCTTTACTAAAAAAAAAAAAAAAAAAAAAAAAAGATTATCAGAGGGAAGGCAGGGAGGGGGATGGGAGGGGAGTGATTAACTGGGGAATTTATATGCATAAATTCATAACCCATGGACATAGACAATAGAGTGGTGAAGGCCTGGGAGGGGCAGGTTCATGGTGGAGGGGGTCAATGTGGAGGAGAAACAGAAACAAAGAGGATATTTGTAATATTTTCAACAATAAAGATAAATTTTTAAAAAATTTGTCACGGAAAATAATATTTATTCAACAAATATTCATTAAACTTTTATTTGTATCTGTCTTTATGCTACAGCAAAAGATATAATTTCAAATAAAGCATAATATTTACTTACTGGAAGCTCATCATTACTACTGGAAGCTGGTCTAGGGGGAAACTTTCAATGACACACCTATTGCATTACCAGTAGTGAGTGCTATGATGGAGGCTGCCATGGGACCTCAGAGGCAGACAGCAAAGCAATAGTGAGTAGTCAGAGGACGGTGGAATGAAGAATCCCATCCACCATGAAGCAGTTCTCTGTTTGTGGACTAAAAGTTTTCAAAATATTATCAAACTCTTCTATTTATACTCCTTAAAATATAAAGATAACTACCAAGTCTACTAACTTGATGTGTTACACTATCCAAACAAAATATCATCAGGTATCTTCCATGGCCGGCTATGAACATCTTTAATATTCCATATACAAAAATAGGCATGTGTAAAAAGTTTTAAAAATCATAATGGAATTTGAATATTTCCAATGCCCTTACACACAAAAAATTCATAAGTTATATGTATTAGATTACTTACCATTTCTTCTCTAGAGTCAATCACAGTGAGGTCAGCATGTTGAGTAGAACAGTTGTGTCTACTTGAATTCCAATCCCCTTCTTGTTTAGAGAAATAATAGCAATTCTTTTGAAAACCAATCCAATCATCAGGGCAAAAATACTGAGTAGAAGGACTGGATTTATCTAGAAATGAGACAAATGCATAGTCTAAGAACCAGATGAAATAATATACCTCTGTACTTGAGATTATTGGGGAAAGACAGGATTGTGATGTAAAAGTTTATAATCATGATTAGAATTGCATATCTACCACATAACATGTTTTTTAAAAATTCCTGTTACATTAAATGACAGCAGCTCAGGATTTGACAGGACACTCATATTCCTTTTGAAGCATAATAGTAATCCCTCCTTTGGAAAAACTGCTGTTTGAAACTAATGTTTTGGAATTCTCTATTGTTTTGAAATTCTTTGCTATATTTTTGCTAGTCCCTCTGTTATTTTTAGACTGTAAAATAACATTGTTTTTTAGCTTGAATAATAGAAAAGATAAACTTAATTGTCTGACCTTGCAAGCTAGCCATCTAACATAAGAAACTGATATGCTGATAATGATGCCAGGTGTCTATATAGATATGTACTCAAGGTTACAGGTGTCTGTATAGATATGATATGTACTCAAGGTTTCAAGTTGTCTGTATATATATGACAGGTGTTTGCTAGATATGATATATACTCAAGGTTACAAGCTGATGCAAAAATAACTTATACAAAGACCTAGAAGGATATAAAAAGGGAATACTCTTTCCTATGTCAGTTCAGAATTTGACAGAGGTATTCTGCTCTGAACCAGCACACAATAAAGATGACTTCTAACTAATTGGCTCATTAAGGCATCTTATCTAGCTCACTGATTTGCAGTACACTTTTACCCCTAACCTCAATGATACATAGGCATTTCAGAGTAACCATTGTTATTTGTGTCAATTTCACTTGTGTTAAGTCACCTTTGTCATTTATGGGTAAATGAAATATAAGAAAATCCTAGCATTATCAGCACGTAATAAAAATACTAATTTAAACTAGACTGTAAAAATGCAGGAAGCATGTTAAATGCTAAGGAAGTAATGGAAAGAATAAAACAGAATATGTAGCTAACAAGGCATGTGTCAGATTGCCTGTTGTCAAGAAGGTAACCCATTAGTTCTCGGTTAACCAATGAAAAGAACCCACACGGGAAGTGAAGCAGAAGTCATTATTCCTAAAGACGTGGGCATTGGCAGTTCATTGGTTTCTTCATGAGTAGCTTTGGCAGCTAGACGTGTTAGCTTCTTAGACTTTCTTCTAATCTCTGGATTCTCCTAAAACACTAGTGGTTTAAGCCAAAGTTATGAGTGGCTATTTCTCCTCCAACGATAGAGCTTTCCAGACCATAACTCCACAGCTCCTCTCATAATAATGTTATTCCTAATTCTTGTGTTAAAGTCCTAGTCTTGAAACATTTGTAGTGTCTATTTTTCTGAACACAGGGAGACTTGAGTCTATTTTTGGTTCCAAAAATAGTTCTAAAGCAACAGAACCTTAAGGATGAGATATCATCATATTGATTTTTCAATGTCATTTGCTTTAAATGCATTAATCTAATCACCAGTTATAAGTGGGATGCTAGTGATTAAGGGTGTACAGAGAGAAAACAATTGGTTGAATTATTATCTACACTCATTTCCACAATGAGTCAATGAAATTTTGCTTCATGTTATGAGATGGAAGAATAACACCGCATAATGTGGAACAACAGAAATAAGATGCAAAGGATACATGCAAATTGCATGATTTTATTTATGCAGAAATGTTTTAAATGGGGAAAACTAACCTATGCAACAGAAATCAAAATAGTGATTATCATTATCAGGGTGAACAATTTTGTCTTAATTTTTGCATCTCCCAATGCCTTACATAGGTCGCATATTTCATAATAACTCATTCATTGATGCCATTAAATATATCGTGACTAAAGGGAAGGGAATGAAAATAATAAGAAAAGATCATGATGAAACAAAAAGAAAAAGAATCATTTAATAATGAAGTGGAATTTTTGGAGTGGAACCCAGATTCTTTCTCCGCCAGAATCGAAGAATGAATCACGGACAGAAAGTGGTATAGCAAAGGTGGAAATTTATTGAAGGGCAAGTACAGACTACCAGGTGAGGAGAGGAAAAGAGTCCCACAGAATGGACTCCCACGTGGGGAGGGGGAAAAAGGGTCCCGCTGAGTTTTTTCCCCTATGGCTTATAAAGGCTGCATATCCTGGTGCCTTGATATCCCCTTTGATTGGCCACTATTCCCTTAGTCTGGTTACTAGGGTAACTCCTAGGCTCAAAGGTGGCACCTCATATGGGACATGTGATGCCCCAGTCCTTCATTGTTCTTTTCTTTCTGCATTTTCTTCCTTTCTCTTTATTTTGTAAATATAGACCTTTTTGGCTACTTCCAGCTCCCTTGTCTTATGTAAATGCAACTGTTGCTGCTCCCTGCACCTGGTTTCCTGGTGTTATGGAGATATACCTGTTGCTGCTTCCTTGTCTTATGGAAATGTGACTGCACCTGGCTTCCTTGTGTTATGGAGATGTACCTTCTCCCAAGCTGTAGCCCTGTGTTTTCCCATGGACCCCAATTCTAAAAACTCCCTAAGCCTGCATCTATTCCCCTAAAATTCCTGTTTCAATAGGAAGACCTGAACAGGGGGAAAGAAAAAAAAGATGAAGAAATAAAGTATGAAATTTACTCACCATATATAATTAAGGCAACAAGAATGGAAATAATTACAAGTAATCCAATAATTGACACCTTATATTTGTTAACACCTGAAAAACAGCAAAAAAAATATTTTTAGATTAAGAAACAGCTACAAGAAAAACTAAAGTTTGTACTCATAACTGTTTCTAAAAACCTCTTTAGGCAATTTTATTCTGCTACTTCACAAGGAAATGACACAAAACAATTTTTTTTCCTGTTTGTCATATGAGAAAAAAATTCTGATTTTTATTTTTTTTGCTTGAAATTTCTCAGGACATCCTTATATCCACTTCAAGTGTTACCATGGATTTTATTGTAATAGTCCAAGGATGCCGGGAGCCGGTCCATGCTTGCTGTTTCAAGGGACCTGGCATATATGGAATACTGTTCTTGATATGTTTGCTCACCTTCTTGGCACTATGTGTTTTAACTAAGGTCTCTGAGAAAGGTTGTTTCCCCAGGTAGGGATTTTCCCCTGAAGTTAGGGAGGGAATAAAACCTCTTAACTTAAGTGCCAGGAGGGTAATTAATCACTTTAACTATGAACAATCATGCTTAAGCTACATAATCTTTACTCCCTGGAATGGAAATAAGAAACGCCCTAACCTTTGTAATAGAGATTGATAGGATTGGAATCAACTGGTATAAATACAGATGTAACAAGACAGAACTCAGAAGACAGAACCTACACACAGAACTTAGAAGACAGAACCTACACAGACAGAAGAACTTCGTTGGAGAGAACATGGCAAAAGATCCTGGACAGAAACTAGCAACAGAACCTAGAGACAGAACCTAGCAAGAGAACCTGGCTGAAGAACCTAGAGACAGAACCTGGCTACAGAACCTGGATAGAGCATGGCAAGAGAACCTGACTAGAACCTGGTGACTGAACCTGGCTGGAGAACCTAGTGAGGGAACATGACTACAGAACCTGGCTGGAGAACCTGGAGAACCTAGCAAGAGAACATGGACACAGAACCTGGCTGGAGATCCTAAGCAGAACTTCGCTGGAGATCCAGACCAGAACTTGGCTAGAGACCCTGACAAGAGAACCCAGCTATGATGATCACCTGAAAGCTGTTTCTGTGTCATTCCTTCTTCACCAACTCCGTCTATGCCTTTGGGACCCCTGAACCTGCTGGGGTTGGACCCCGGCATATGGCGCCCGAACAGGGACCCCCTAGGCAAGCGCCCTGCACTTGGGACGGAGAGGACTCCACCGTAGGAAGAGGGTGGATAGTCTTCGCCGACTCCGTCCACACCTTTGGGAACCCCTGGAACAGAATTCCCCTAGGTAAGCCCCCCACTTGAAAACCCCCACACTCGGGACGGATAGGACTCCACCAGGGTGCTACAGACCCCCCTATAGAGGATAAATAGGGTAAGAAGGTGGATAGTACAGAACTTAGATTGAGAAGATGTGCCATACTGAGTCCAAAGAAAGAAGACTCTGTATTGATCTTTTAACACATATGCTTGCTAGCAGAGGAGTTAAGGTTACTCCCAGTCAGACAGAACTTTTTATACAAGAAGTATGTCCATGCTTTTCTGAGGAAGGAAAGGTAAATGTAAAGGCATGGGAGGAGGTAGGCCCAAGGAGCCTTATCCTTAACCCCACTGCAGCCTTTTCACCCCGGGAAAGTGCAGGATTGGCAAGCTCTCCCTGGGGTGATAGATCAGGACTCAGGTAATAGCAGAAAGCGCCAATCCTACTCTTAAAATGGATACAAGAGAGCATTTTGGGTTTTTCTTTTTAATGCCTGCTTTTAAAAAATAAAAAAGGGGGAATTTGCCGGGAGCCGGTCCGTGCTTCCTGTTTCAAGGGACCTGGCATATATGGCATACGGTTCTTGATATGTTTGCTCACCTTCTTGGCACTATGTGTTTTAACCAAGGTCTCTGAGAAAGGTTGTTTCCCCAGGTAGGGATTTTCCCCTGAAGTTAGGGAGGGAATAAAACCTCTTAACTTAAGTGCCAGGAGGGTAATTAATCACTTTAACTATGAACAATCATGCTTAAGCTACATAATCTTTACTCCCTGGAATGGAGATAAGAAACGCCCTAACCTTTGTAATAGATTGATAGGACTGGAATCAACTGGTATAAATACAGATGTAACAAGACAGAATTCAGAAGACAGAACCTACACACAGAACTTAGAAGACAGAACCTACACAGACAGAAGAACTTCGTTGGAGAGAACATGGCAAAAGATCCTGGACAGAAACTGGCAACAGAACCTAGAGACAGAACCTGGCTACAGAACCTGGATAGAGCATGGCAAAAGAACCTGACTAGAACCTGGTGACTGAACCTGGCTGGAGAACCTGGACAGAACCTGGATGGAGAACCTAGTGAGGGAACATGGCTACAGAACCTGGCTGGAGAACCTGGAGAACCTAGCAAGAGAACATGGACACAGAACCTGGCTGGAGATCCTAAGCAGAACTTCGCTGGAGATCCAGACCAGAACTTGGCTGGAGATCCTGGCTAGAGATCCTGGCTAGGCTGCTGATCAACTGAACGCTGTCTCTGTGTCATTCCTTCTTCGCCGACTCCATCCACACCCCTGGGGACCCCTGGACCTGCTGGGGTTGGACCCCGGCACAAGGAATCAAAGATGTATGTGTCTTTAGGCCAGAATTTCCTCAGGCCTGGAGCCACTCCCAGACCTTCACTACATTTCCTCTATGGCAGTGATTTTCCAACCTTTTTCATCTCATGGCACATATAAACTAACTACTAAAATTCTGCAACACACTAGAAAATATATTTTTTGCTGATCTGACAAAAATAGGTATAATTTTGATTCATTTACAGCAGATGGATATTGTTGATTGTTGTCATTTTCTTTTTTATTTGACAATTTAAGGAAAAAGAGGTCAGTGACCCTGCCTAAACAGTCAGGTATTACATATTTTAGAGATACTTGTAGCACACCAGTTGTACCATGGCACACTATTTTAAAATCACTGCTTTATGGTAAAGTATCAGGACATCCTAACATTCTTTTAATGTTTCTAAGAAAATCTACTTTCCAAATAATGAAAAGTTTATTTTAAACTGTAGACTGAATAGCATATTTGAAAAGTCATAGAATAATCAATCAAAAGATTTGGGATTATAATTTTTACCACAAGCAAACAATGGGAACTTGGATAAGTCATTATTTTTTTCTGGCTGTATATATTTCCTCATTGGCAAAATCAGTAGAACGCATCTCATCTCTGACCAGAAATTGTTTTTCTTTTTTATTAGTGCCCATTTTTGGAGAAAAATGGTATATAACTTTTAAAAAATGAAATATTTTTATTTTACATGATTATAAACTATTTATCCTTATTACAAATTTTAAAAATTTATAAATGTTACCTTAAGATAGACTATAAACACTGAGAGTGTTTATCATTCCTCTTATTCACCTAGTAAAGAACTATTCTTTTGTTGAATACTTTTTTCCATAGTATATGTGTTAAAAATAGTATTTACTAGTAAAATGCATCCATATGTACACTGCTTAGACAAAATTAGCATTCTCATTTGAGTTAACATCCTTCCATCTATGTATCTCTCTAATTCTATTTTCACACATATAACCTCTCTCCAAAATACACATAATCTTAAATGAGTACAATTATCATGTGCCCATTGTCATGTAATTTAATATTTTCAGTTAATGTGTTCTTACTACTGTGGCACACTGTTTAAAATGGCGCCCAATGAATCGTTCCTCCTGTGTCTACCATCCCTTGCACACATGATCTTGCTACTTCTCCCATCAAGAAGTACACTATATTTCCTGACACTTGAGTATGAATTGGCTTTGTGCCTTGCTTTGCCCAATAAGATATGGTAGAAATGACAGTCTAGCACAGTGGTTCTCAACCTGTGTGTCATGATCCCTTTGGCAGTCGAACAACCCTTTCACAGGGGTTGCCTAAGACCATCCTGCATATCAGATATTTACATTATGATTCATAACAGTAGCAACATTACAGTTATGAAGTAGCAATGAAAATAATTTTATGGTTGGGTCACAACATGAGTAACTGTATTTAAAGGGCCAGAAGGTTGAGAACCACTGGTCTAGCACATTATAGCACATGCCTAAAAAGATATTGCAATTTCTATTTTCAATAGTCTAGAGCCCAGTCACTGTCTTAAAAAATGAGACAGAGAGAAAGAGAGAGAGAGAAAGAGGATATAGTGGATAAACAGCTGAATCCAATCACTAAGGCTTAAATTTGTGAGTGATGACTTAAATCTGTGAATGAAGACATTTGGATCCTCAGTCCCTTCCCAAATATAGCAGTTGGTATAACATGGAGATGAGCCATTTCACAGAATCTTGTCCACATTCCTAACCCATAAAGCCACCAGCACTAATGAGAAGGCTAAAAGGCTAATTCCAATGTAACCCTGATATTTGGGGGGCTAGCAATCTGAATCTGTGCCAGCAGTCTAATGTGCATTACTGATAACCTGTAATTAAGTCATTACCCCTTTCTCCACAAACTGGTCTTGCAAGACCTGTTACCTAAATGCTCACATTTTACAGAGACCATAAACCATGAACAGCACACAGCCCCCAGAGGGGGGTTATCAGCACTGGTGACAGGCCAGGCTCTTAGGTATGGTCTCAAGACCCCCAACACCTGGGGCTTTTTGCAAAGCCTGTGAAAGGCCTGGAAGTATAATCCATATTTGGAGGACAAAGACACCAAAAGGAGATAAAAGCGGGGCTTCCACCATATTGGTTGGCTCAGAATTTGAGAGGCAACCTCCTCTGAGTCCGCCAGCATAATAAAGCTGTATAACTCTATTTCTCTAAGGGTTGCTTGTTTTTCTCTGGTCTTCTAAAACACTATCATGATTATTGTTTTAAGCCACTAAAACTTTGGGGTGGTTGTTCATTCAGAGAAACAGATAAATTTATCCACCATGCAAAAGTGTAATTTTACATCACAATTTTAATGTCTGATAAAACTCTTTTATATGGCTATGCCATTAGAATAAACATTAACCCTCTTCTTATGGATCTTTAAGTTGGGTCATTCCTATTTTT